AAGGGCACTAATCCCATTCACTAGGGCTCCACCCTGATGACCTGCTCACCTCCCAAAGGCCCCCTCGTAATTGGAGCAAGATGGGGCTAGCTGAGCAGAGATACTCTGCTCCTCCTGGTCCTGGGATCAGACATCTACCAGCTGACTCTGGGGCAGGGCTCTGATGAAGGTCCATGTGTAAGGAGCACAAGCAGGCTTGAGAGGCTGACAGTCCTTGAGCAGCTGGCGGCACCTCTCTTGGGCTGCATGTCCCTGCTTCCTTGCTTCCCCCTGGCTCTGGGGGATCATAATGCTAAGTCAATCCCAAATACTTCAGAGCCAAAGTCCTTGCTCCAGTGTCCCCTGTCTGACCATTTTCACTGGGCCTCCCAATTTAAATACTCACATCCAGCACCCAACACAAGTAGGGGCACTTCCAAAGGAGAGGCTGCAAGCTGGATAGGAACTCTTAAGTTTACCATTCCTCAGGCAAGTCTTGGTCCTCACAAGCCTAACCTCTCCATCTGTGAAAGGGCTGACTCATCATTCAATGAGAACCTTGAGGTCACGTGCTGGGCACTGATGAGCTCTCAGCAAAGTCAGCTCACCCCACTGCATGGGTGAAAAGGCAGCGCTGGGTCTTGTTAAGAATCCAGCCCAGGGAAAGTTAAAATCATTTAAAAAAAATCACAATCAATGTAGTACCATATATCAATAGAAAAAAACCCACATGATCATCTCAGTTGATACAGAAAAAAACATTTGACAAAATTCGATACCTTTTCATGATAAAATATTCAATAAACTAGGATTAGAAGGACACTTCCTCAATATGATAAAGACCATGTATGTAAAACCCACAGCCGACATCATATTCAATGGTGAAAAACAGACAGCTTTTCCTATAAGATCAGGAATAGGGCAAGGATGCCTGCTATTGCCATTTCTATTTAACTTAGTGCTATAAATCTTAGCCAGAGCAATAAGGCAAGAAAAAGAAACAAAAGCATTCAAATTGGAAAGGAAGAAGTAAAATTATTTCTGCAGCTGATATGATCTTCTATGTAGAAAACCCTAAAGATTCTACAAAAACACCACTAGAGCTAATAAATGAATTCAGCAATATTGCAGGATACAAAATCAACACACAAAAGTCAATGTGTCTCTATACATTGACTATGAATAATCCGAAAATAAAATTAAGAAAACAATCCCACTTACAATAACATTGAAGAGAATAAAATACATAGGAATAAATTTAACCAAAGAAGCAAAAGACTCATACACTAAAAACTACAAAATATCACTGAAATTTAAAAAGCCCTAAATAAATGGAAAATCATTCCATCCTCGTGGATTGGAAGACTTAATATTAAAATATCCATACTACTCAAAGCGATTTACAGATTAAATGCAATTCCTTTCAAAATCCTAACAGTGTTTTTTGCAAAAATAGAAAAACCCATCCTAAAATTCATATGGAATCTCAAGGACCCCAACAGCGAAAACAATCTTGAATAAAAAAGAATGAAGTTGGAGTATTCACAGTTCCTGATTTCAAAACTTATTATGAAGCTGCAGTAATCAAGGCTGTCTGACATAATAACAGACATAGAGACCAATAGAATAAAATAAAGATTCCAGCAAAAACCCTTGCATGTGTCATCAATTGATTTTTGATGAGGGTGTCAAGACCAATGAATGGAGAAAGGACAGTCTTTTCAACAAATAGTACTGGGAAAACTGGATACCCACATGCAAAAGAATGACATTGGACCCTTACCTTATACCAAGTTATACAAAAAAATAACTCAAAATAGATCAAAGACCTAAATGTAACAGCTAAAACTATAAAACTCTTAGAAGAAAACAAGGAGAAATCTCCACAACACTGGAGTTGGCAATGATTCCTTAGATGACACCAAAACAACAAAAGAAAAAAAATGGGTAATTCAACTTCATCATAATTAAAAAGTTCAGTGCATCAAAGGAAACCATCACGAGAGTGAACAGATAACTCACAGAATGGAAGAAAATATTTGCAAATTACATATCTGAAAAGAACTCCTACAACTCAACAACAAAACAAACAACCCAATTTAAAAATGAGCAAAGGACTTGAATAGATATTTCTCCAAAGAAGATATACAGATGACCATCAAGCACATGAAAAGATGCTGACTATCACAAGTCACTAGGGAAATACAAATCAAAACCCCAAGATACTACTTCACACTATTAAGATAGCTATGATCAATGGTTTTGGAGAAACATGGCGAAGTGAGAGACGTCCCCAGATTTCTCCCCTTGAAACGATAAGCTGAACATCTAAAACTCAACAAAAAACACCCAAACTGCATACCAGCATGTCTGAGCATGGGATCTGTGCATAAGAGCTACCACAGGTTGCGAAGTCCAACATCAAGGTGCAGGCGAATTTGGTTCTCCATTCTTCTACATTGTCACTAATCTTTGTCATGAGCAACCAGTGAAGGTTGATGGAGAAGAGCCCACAAGTGAGTAGAAACATCTTTTTGTTTGTAGCAATTTGTTTTAAAATTTTACCCCATGAAATAAGTCACAGATGGACAAATACCGGATATGATTGCAACAAGCTCATGGATACAGAGAATATATTGGTGGTTGCCAGGGTAGAGGGTAGGCGAAATAAGTGAAGGCAGTCAAAAGGTACAAACTTCCAGTTATAAAATAAATAAGTGATGGGAATGTAATTTACAGCATGGTGACTAGAGTTAATAATACTGCATTGTATATTTTAAAGTGGCTAAGAGCGTAGATCTTAAAGGTTCTTATCACAAGAAAAAAAATGTTGAAACTATGTGTGGTGATGGATGTTAACTAGACTTATTGTGGTGATTATTTCACAATATATACAATTATTGAATCATTATGTCGTACACCTGAAAATAATATCGATTATACTTCAATTATTTAAAAAGATGGCTATGATCAAAAAATCCAAAGAGAACAAATGTTTGTGAGGATGTAGAGACACTGGAAACTTGGTGCGTTGCTGGTGGGAATGTAAAATGGTGCAGCTGCTGCTGAAAAGTTTGGCAGTTCCTCCATAAGTTAAACATAGAATGACTATGTGATTCAGCAATTCCATATTTTGGGTATATACCTAAAAGAATTGAAAGCAGGGACTCAAACAGATATTTGTACACCTACGTTCATTAGTCACGATAGCCGAAAGATGGAAGCAAGTCAAGTATCCACTAACAGATAAGTGGATGAATAAAATGTGGTATATGCATATAATGGAATATTATTCAGCCTCAAAAAGAAACATCTGATAGATGCTACAACATGGATGAACCTTTAAAACACTATTCTAAGTGAAATGACAAATAACGTATGAGTCTACTTACACAAGGTACCTAGAATAGGCAAATTCATACAGACAAAGTAGAATAGAGGTAAGTTACCAGGGGCTAGGGAAAGGGATAGTGGTGAGGAGTTAGTGTTTAAAGGGGACATAGTTTCTATTTAGGGTAATGATAAAGTTCTGGAGCTAGAGAGTGGCGAAGGCTCCACAACAATGTAAATGTACTTAATGCCACTGAACTGTATACCTAAAATGGTTAGAATGGTGAATTTTATGATAGATATATTTTACCACAATTAAAAATACATAGACTTAGATGGCCCAAATAAAAAAAATGCAATTTTGACCAAAAATGTTTTCTGATGGCCTGGCCTCTTGGGTTAGTCTTTTTCATAAGCATGCTATCTTGCTCTCTGACTAGCTCTGGGTCCCCTGAGGCAGCCTGAGCTGCCAAGAGTGCCTGAGATAGGCCAAATTGTTGGGAATTTCCCCACTCCTTTGAGACAGGAAGTTTAAATTATCAAGTCAATTAGGAAAGATACAACCAAAAAATACAAGTTGCATTCGCACTTCAAGGATGCGTTTCCTGGCCCGGTGCCACTTTTATTATGTTCGGAGGAGGCAGCTGAAAGCCCCATAGGCCCAATTAAGGTACAATGTGATCTTTGATTCGCATTTCAAAGATCAAAGAGTGAGTTTGAGTGTAAATTCAGATAACAGTTCAGAGATCTTTTCATGAAAGGAGTCAATAGACCAGGGCAGAAAGGGAGCTGGCATGTTCCGTGTGTGTTCTACTGGAGAAACATCTTTTTCCAGTGAATTCAGCAGCCCGTGACCCCAGTAACTCCTGGCCTGCATCCAGGTCCTTGGCCCACAGGGCATTAGGTCCTTGGGCTGAGGGCCCGCACTCTCTCCTGCCTCTTGTCTAGGCACCCTGAGGACACTGGGAGGAGGCGTCGGGCCATGCCTGTGAGCACTCAACCTCATCCTTGACTGGCTTTTCCAACGTCTCTGGGTGCTGACTGGGCACACCACTCGTAGGCGGCAGGCTTGGCATTGGCAGCCTGCTCTCACAGTCCTCTCTGGGTCCAGCCTCAGCTGGGGTAGAGCTGCAAAAATCCACCCGCGACGAGAAACCCACAGGCTTCTCTTGGTAGCACGCAGGTGGAAGGTCCTTGGGGTCAGCCCTGCCCCGCCCTCCTGCTCTGAGATGTAAAGTATGTAGAACCAGGCTCTAAGTTCTGAGTATGGGGCACTGGATGATGGGAGATTTTCCAGGGGAGCTCTGCTGCCCCTCTACGCCCAAACACTCCCTGATGCCCACAACTCCCAGTGCCCAGCTGACTTAAGGGCAGGAACCCTGGGCTGCGGTAGCATCAGATCCTCCATCTCTACGGGATCCGGGTGGGCACCGAAGCCGCTCCTGCTAACTCTTCAGTCCTCAGCCCTAGAGCGTTCCCCGTCCGCGCGACACCGCCCCCTCCGATCGCCCCGCGCCTGCGCACGCAGCCCCGTCTGCTCTCGTGGCACTTGGCGCGGCACCGGGCTGAGCGAGTTCCCATCACCTCCCGCGCGGTGCTGCCGCGCTGGCAGGACCAGGAAGCGCCTGCGCGGCCAAGGCCCCACGGCGTACGGCGCAGGCGCGACTCGTAGGGAGTCCAGCGTGGGGTGGGCCAAGAGCCGGCGCGGGAACGTACGCGGCGGCCGCGTAAACGCAGGGGGTGTGGCTGCGTGATGCGGTCGGGCTCTGGGAGCCGCGCTGCGTGGAGAGGGACTTGCTGTCTTCGGCTGGAGGGTCAGTGGGGCGCCGAGAACCTAGTTGACCGGCGGTGGGGCTCTGCCTTCCATCCCTTTCCAAATCCCCATCCGCGGAGAGGCGCTCGGAGCCCCTGGACTGGGTTCCCGCTGTTCTTCTGGCCATTGGGCCTCAGTTTATTAGTCCGCGCCGGGGGCTGGGGGCGGGGGCGGAATGCCTGGAGTCAATTTTGGGCGGTTCCCGCCATCTCTGGAGGTCGCACCCCTCCTCGCCTCACGGCGGCCGATCTTATTCTCCACTTTTTAGGTGGCATTTAGACTCGCCATCGGAGGGAGAAGCGTCCGCAAGGTCTCTGGCCGCAGACCCGTGCACCCTTTTCGCGGGCTCCTCGCGTAGCCGCAGGTGGGTCGGCAGCTTCTTGCGGTGGGGCTTGTGAGCTCATATCCCCGCAGTTCCCTGCATGGCGGTTGCGGGAGGGGTGGTGCAGTAGTCTGTCCTGAAGTGGAGGCACTTGCTGTGAGGCTTTGGGCAAGTTATTCTACTGCAGGGGCCCCTGGGTCTCCTTGGAGCAGAGGGCGCTCCAGCGTTCCAGGTGCTGCCTTTGGCTTTGCGGAGGCAAGTGTTTGTGTGCCGCGCTACTTGCTCCTTGATAGAGCGCTGTCCAGTCCAGGAGAAGGGCCCAGATTCCTCAGTGCCAGGCAGGGATGGGGAGAAACGAGAGACACCAATAGACTGAGACAAGGTTCTCTCACAAGTCAGGCCCAAGCTTAGGAAGGTTCACGCTCAAGCGTGGGGGTGGGGAAGGGACTGTTTGGCGCAGAGGAGCCTTCTCCTTGAGGCTGCTGGGAACACACAGGCATGCCGATGAGCGGCAGTTTTGTGAGTGGGGATGGGAGGTCGGGACTGTGAGAAAGGGAGGTCAGAGACCTGGGTAGTGCACTGGCTCCTGCGCATGGGATGTAGTCTTTGCGGGCGGCCTGGTAGCTAATCTCAGATTTGGTGGTAGGAGGTGGGATGTGGTCATTGCTTTTCAGAGCTCAGTGAGATGAGGGACTGGACTTTGAGTGTACTCCATTCACGTGCTGCCCCTTGGGCCACTGCTGCTGGCAGGCCGTATAGCATATTCTTTCCTTGTGTTAGGACGGGAAGGGCTTCCAGGTGGAAGACCGCACCCCCAGAGTAGGTGATGTATCTGAGCGGTTTCAGAATGCTTGTGGCAGTGGTAGGTACCTGTAGCCTTGGCAGTTTTGAGTGTTTCAGGCCACCCTGGGAGGTGTTGGGCAGAAAGATCAACAAAGCTGTGCTTCCTTGGAGAAACTCACTGTTTCTCCAAGAAACAGTGAGTAGAGACGGGAGTAGATAAACACATAGGTGTGTGCAAGCTGTGGTGCCCATAGGTGTGAGTTGATGGAGCATTAGGGTATGAGTGGAGGAGTTTTGGGGAAAATTGCACAAGGAGGGGTGAAGCGGACAGTTCTGTGGAGGCCATGAGTGGACTTCCTTTGCAGAGACTGGGAGGTGACTCAGGCTGGGCAGTGTGAGAGCCCAGGGAGAGGGCTCCTTGCACTGGACAAGTACTGTACCTGCTGATGGTTGCATCCTCCTTTCCCACTTTGGGGCTCTTTGGACTGCTCAGGGTTGGTGATCTTTGCTGTCCAGGCCATTTGCAGGAGTGACTTTGGGGAGATGAAGGAAGACACAGCAAGTGGGATTAAACTTAGGAGATCATAGATGCTGGGCTATTGATAGGAACGGGGAAGCAGGGAGGTGGCGTTCAGGGTGTGTGTGGCATTGCCTGCAGGCTGTGCTCTTTGATTGGTGAGGCGATTCTGGAAAGCATGGGAGGAAGGCTGAAGGGCAC